TTGTTTATAAAAACCGTTGGAACTGAAAGCTATACAAAAACAGTGCTTCTGCTAGTTAAAATGGGATCATTGTTATGCCTGTCGTTGCCGTAATTTGGCACATTCTGAAAATTTGATGGCTTCTACTAAGGAGTTTGTGCTAATACTTTGATACCAAATAAATAAATTATTAAGCAGTCTTAGCTGCTCATGGATTAGTTTAACTCTTCTTTAGATACATCAGAAATCCAAATAAATAAAAACTGAAACTAAATCGAAACCTCTAAATTTAACTTCAGTTTTTGTGAGACATTTAGAGTAAATGATACATTTATAGTTACTTGATTAATCACAAATGCATTTAGAATTGCTTGATTAGTCACATTCTGCATTACACCAATCATACTTTGATTTTTTTTTTTTTTAACATAAACCTTATCTTAATTTAACTGTTACTAACCTAATTCTTCAGTCTTGTTTTAATCAAATAAATCTAGTTTCACTTTTACAAATATTCTGAATTCTTAAATTTAGTAATGTAAATATGAGTATAAAAATAAAAGTTTAAATATGAGTGTAAGAAAGATGGAATAAAAGTTACAAAATTAACAATTCTTTGTAAAATTTAAAATTAATAAATTTTTGGATTAAATAAGTAATCATAGATACTGTTAAATTCATGAAATTAAAAATTAAGAATGTTTTTTCATTCTCTCTACAAAACTTTCATGCTGGAATATGTATTTCATTAAAAATAATTTTTTAATGATTTATTTAATCATTAAAGAATTATTTGTGCATGATCAGCAAAAAATAACTCTTTATCTTCTTCAATTTTGAAGTTTGGAAAGTGTTTTGCTTTGCTTTATTTCACTGATCCAATCTTTTTAATGCAAGTATTTTTAAAGTTTCTTAAAATTGGAAGGGGAAAGAATGTTCCTAGTTGTGGTATGGGCAACTGAATATGTCTCTGTAAATAGCATTATCCAGCACTTTTTTTAATGAACTAACTTGGATCTATTAACCTAGCTATATGAAAGAATAGTGTCTTGTTTTTATGGCAGAATTTATTTTAAATCATTCTTTTTTAAAATTGTTTTTGTATCAAATATAATGCCATTAAGCCAGTGGTTCACAATCTTTTTTGTCTCGTACATTCTTTTTACCATTGCTAGACAATCATTCCCTCTCTTTCCTTTCCAAAACTAAAAAAATACACACATATATTTATTGAAATATATCTTATTTTTAATGTGCTTTATAAAATGAATGAGAAAAAGTAGTGAAAATGCTGGTAACAGGGATCATCCCTGGACATGTTACACGTGTCTATAAATTTGAAACTGTGAAAAAGGAATTATTATTTTTTAATTCTTATAATAAAATCATTATTAATTCTTTAAATATACAGTTTTGCATTCAATCATGGATTTTATTTAGAATCATACATTTGAAACGAAACAAATTTTGCACTATCATGTTAATTTTCTGCCGTCTAATGCTCTAATAATTTTTGCCCTCCACCCTGCAAATACCAGTTTCATTAATGAAATAATGCATTTTACGAGGTTCAAGAAAAAAACTTTTCCCCTTCTGTTGAGCCATGACAAGAAAGAGTTGCCCAGTTTTCCTATCTTCTTGCTATGCCCTCTTGGCTTCATCTGGAAGTGTCCATTCTTCAGCATTTAATTTGGTGCAAATTATTGTTATGCTTTATTATTATGCAAATGGAAGTTTTCTGCTTCAAAGTTTACATTGTAATGTACATTTAAGTTTAAAGTTGTTTAGTTTTATTAAAATTTTAAAGTTTTTTGAGTTATTTTAAATATGTTTATTCTCATTTATGTGGGCTACTTTCCTAAGTTCTGTATGATAATGAAGTTTCATCTTCTTCTTCTTTTTTCTTTTTTTTCCCCCTTTCTTTCTTGATTTTGATCATAATCTCAGAAATAAAAATTACGAGGCGTATTCGGAAACTAAGTACCGTTTTGAAAAAAAAAAAATAGTAAAACAATTTTTTCAAATCCAATTTTATTTTTACATGAAAATACATGTCTTAAACTATTTTTCAACATAGTTTCTGCCAGTGATCAAATACTTGTCATAGCGGGTGACCAGTTTTTGTATACCATCGTCAAAGAAACTTCCCGCCAGTTTCGAGAACCACGACTCCACAGCATTTTTCGTGTCAGCGTCAGATCCGAAGCGCTTGCCACCAAGCTCGCGCTTCATGTGCAGGAACAAGTGATAGTCAGACGGCGCCAAGTCCGGGCTGTACGGCAGGTGATCGAACTGCTCCCAATGAAACTGTCGAATTAACGATTGAGTGACACCAGCAGTATGGGGCCGAGCATTGTCATGGAGCAACACAATTCCTTTACTGAGCATTCCTCTTCTTTTTTTTTTTTTTTTTTTTTTGAATGGCATGCCTTAGTTTTGTTAAAGTCTCACAATATCGTGCCGCATTAATGGTTTCACCTCTGGGGAGAAATTCAGTAAGCAAAACGCCTTTCCTATCCCAGAAGACAATGCACATGATTTTTTGTGATGACATTGTCACTTTGAACTTTGTTTTTTTGGAGAACGAGTGTGTCTCCACTCTATCGATTGTTGTTTCGATTCTGGTGTGAAATGACACACCCAAGTTTCATCATCACCTGTCACAATTTGGTTTAAAAAGTTTTCTCCCTCATCCACTGTACCAACCGCGTGAGAAATGTCAGGGCACTACCAAGTCGCTTTGTTTTGTGAACATCAGTGAGCATTTTTGGAACCCATCGGGAACACAGTTTGCGATAATTCAAGCGGTCAGACACAATTTCGAACAAAAAAGTACGTGAAATTTGTGGAAATGCCTCTGAAAGAGTTGTCATTGTGAAGCGTATGTTCTCATGAATTGCTTCATCAACTTTCCTTACCAAATCATCGGTGACGACAGAAGGCCGACCACTCCGAGCCTTAGCGTGGACATTTGTTGGACCTGCATTAAACATTCTTACCCACTTTCACACCATTCCATCACTTATTGCATATTCACCATAAACTTCTGTCACTTGACGATAAATTTCGGCCGGTTTAACATTCCTCGCGTTCAAAAATTTAATCAGGGCACAAATCTCACAGTCAGCGGGAGAACTAATTGTCCTAAACATTTTGAATGTGCACAGCAAACTGAAAACACAACATAGAGCAACCAAAATGGCGACAATTGAAAGTCAGTGAACAAGAAAGACTAGTGCGCATGCACGGGACGCCTACCACAGCACTGCGATAGCGCTAGAATGAAACAGTACTTAGTTTCCGAATACGCTACGTATTTAAGAATAATGAAACTTTAATGGATAAGGTAAAAAACCTTTACACAAATTACATAAGGGATGAAAACTAGGTAATCAATATTTTAAGATGTTAATGAAAAGTTTCAGTTGTAAGTTATGAACTTCACAGTTCCTGTGTGTTATTAATATCTGCCTTAAGATATTTTGCTCTGATGAAGTCTTAAATTCAGCTAATGTTCGGTTTCAGTACTTTTGATTTTTTTGAGTGAAAGTGTAATTCTAGCCAGAATGCACTGGAACTTTAAATGAAGGAGATTCCACTGTATTGAATTGCAATATTAATGGACAATTTTAATACCATTTTTTGTTCAGCAGTTAGTAAAATTGATATTGGTACTAGATATAGAATGAAGGCTCACTTTTTCTGGCAAGAGGAAGAATGGAAACATTTTTGCAACCAAGGAAGATAATCTTCTTTTCAAAATCATGAGAAGCTTTTATAAGTTAAATTAACTTGGTCAGAATGCCTTCAAGTGGATTAGAAGCCAAAATAAAAATGCACTTATATCTCTGTGATGAATGTTTATAAAAATAATTAGTTTTCCTTCATTCCCGTGGTCTGTACAGTAGTTAGTGAAAGCTGACTGCTAATCTGAATTGTAGGTTGAAGGTTTAATCCTGTACAAGACTTGGTTATTTATGTGTCCTTTCAGCGTCTTGCAAGTGTAATATCGAACCACCCCTTCTAAGATCTCGTCTTCTTGGCTATGATACAAAATATCTAGATCTCAAAGTTTAACCTGGCAACTTCTCAAACTGGCAGAAAGAGTAATACAACAAGGAAAGGGTGTAAAAAAGCCTTTTTTATTGATCACAACTCTTTAACAAAAAGGCACAGACTGTGTGCTGAAAAAAGTGTATACATAACAGTTTTCAATTACTCAGGTCCTCATATCAATGTTCAGTTTTCTTAAGAAGGTTTACAATTTTTTTAATCTCTCTATTATTAATGTTTTGTGTGTTTATTTATTAGATATCACGTTCTTAGCACTTGCACCACATGAAATTTAATTCAACAGTAAAATCTTAAAAACAGCATTTCTTTAGAATTTCCGATATACAGTCTTGCACATTGGAGATAAAAATATTTTATTCCATACAGTAATGCCACAGTTCACTTTGAAATCATTGAGTTTGTTAATCAAAAATTCATTAAAGTTTTTTATAATATGAAATAGATTATGAAACAAATTCAAAATTTAGGCTTCTAGGTGCCCATGATCAGGGGGAAGATTACGTTATTCAAAATTTGACAGCTCTAGATACCATTGTTTTTTCATAGTGCAAGAAAAATAGATATATTTATACAGATTCTTCATTACTTTATTTCTTTAAATATAATACATGTGGTAATATTTGGTAGCACCAATTTGAAAAGGGACACAGCACATTTAAGTGTTTCGACACAAAATGCCGTTTTGAGACTAATATCCCATTCAGGACTAACATCTCTTTTGGAGTAAAAATTATTAATTTTCTATATGTTCTGTTAAAGAAGCTTATTTTAATTTTTAATGATGCTGTGCCATGTTGAATCAATATATTTTATTTTTTACAATCCATTTTAAATGTATTTTTCAAAATAAAATTAATTATATGAGGATATAGAGTGAAGTGAACTGTGAATAATTTTCTCTCAAACATGTCAGAAAAATAATAATTTATTAAGATATATCTGTTTAGCTTGCATCTTTAAATCTTCCACGTCGATCAAGCTTTGGCCATGCAAGTCTCAGTTCGACTGGAATATCATCTGTGCGAGAGAGAGTGGGTAGTAATCGTATTCATGATCGTCCCAGGATGCGTAGCAATTCTGCAAGAATGGGAGCACGACCAGAACCAGTCATTCCATCTGGCCGTGTATCACCAGCAACTGAAGCTGATGGAAGGGTTTGTTAAGATCTCTACTGAATTTTCATTTAGAAATTTAACTATTATTTAATATTTAAACTGTATCAAGTAGTGAGGTAGTTATATTATGTTTAAAGTAATCATTACTTTGAAAAATAAATCAAATTCATTATGGATATTTGAAGTCCATAACTTTTTTTTTCCCATTTTTTTAATGAATTATATTTTTTAACACCTTTTTTTAGTCATGCTGCTTTAAGCATGATGTAACTTTTTCTATCATACTATCCAATATATTATGATTATTTCTATCATCTTTTTCTATCATAGCATCCAATATATTATGATTTTAAAGATTCTCAACAATTACATTTTGGTATATTACTTATTATGTTCTGTAAGCCTCAGAACTTGCAGGAGATTCTTCCTTTTCTGAAATTAAACCATCTTAAAACCTGAATTTTCTCTTTCAATCTGAAGAAAAATTAATCATTAATTTAAGAGAAAAACCTATTTTCTGGTTATAATTTCAAAATGCCCCTGCAATTTTGATCATGCCTTTCCTCAACATGTGTTACTTTAATCACATGCGCATATTCCAAGATATATAAAAAGTGCTGGTAGAGATATCATTGGCATTTACTTTTTTGAAAAAAATAAGAGGCACCATTAAAAAATAACATATTCATCTCAAAATTTTGTATTTCATTTCTTCATACCAAGTATGCAAATGATTAAATTTTTAATGCCAGTGAAAGTTAACTTCAGTCATAGCATGGATTTCTACTGCACAACTAGCATCATGTAAAACAGATAACAATTGCGGATGGTTTATATTTTCTCATCATCAACATTCCAGTTGCCTGGAGACACAGTCAATAATTCTGCATGTAGATACCTTTCCTGTTAGGGAAAATAGTCTATAAGTACTTTGCCAAAGTTAATTAATCAACCAATTATCTGATTAATTTTGCTGCCGTAACTGTCAAATGTAGCAGATTTTGTTTACATTTTTGTGTGTTATTTTTATAAGCAGAAATTGTTTTGAATACTATTTGAAAAAAAAAAAATCTAATAAAAATTGTACAGATATTTTAAGAGTAAGCAATGGAAGCATTCTTATTTTTATATGAATCATAAAATAAATTTTGTGTCTTATATGTTAGATTTAAGGTCAGAAAGTTGTCTTCCTTGTGATGATGATGTGAATTTTGTTATGATTCAATAATTTTATACTTGCTCTATATCTGGAGTTTTATAATAGTTAATGTCAGTCATAGATGGATAACGTCAAGCTATTAATTTCACCTGAAATTTCATTTGATATTTTTTCTAGCAGTCTTCCAATATTAAGTTATGATCCCATAAGTCTCCCTTGCCTTTTGGTTTGACTAAATTTAATCATGACTGAATGTTTAGGTTAGTTTGAATACAGCAAAGCACATGAGGGCTATCTAAGAGAAAGGATACTTTTGCAGCAGATTTTTTGAGGGAAAATAGCTCATATTTATGTTACAAATGGAAAAAACCAACCACGGAGCCAGCCCATTTGCCTGGGCTCAAACGTGACCTTCGAGAGGGAGAAGGCCATGACACTTAATAAACATGGCGGAGATTTCCGTCCGATGTTATCATCGGAAAGTCATCTGGATTTTTAAATTTTCATCGTAAATATAACTTTATCATGTTCCTTAGTTAATTAAAATAGCTTAAAGAAAGGAGGCTTTATATACATACATACTTTTTAAGCTTTTTACAGATATTTTAATTAACTTTGTGCATAAATATAATTGAAAGAACCAAAAAACAAACGAACATTTTACAAAAATTTAAACGCTGATTGAAAATTGCCACTTTCATGATAAATTGGAAAAGGGTTCTTAAGATAATAATTAATATGTTACCTAGGCTCAAGTATTAATTTATTCGCGTTTCAGAGCAAAATATGTAACCATCAGCTTCTATATCTCCAGCGTATGTAAATGAAATACTATATAAATTTGCTAATAAATGTGATAAAAAATATTTCATATAAGAAACATACCTAAATCTTATAACAAAAAAGCCTTCCAACATTTATATAGGAAATGAAATAACCTAACAAACAACATGCACAACTGGCAATAAAAAAATAATAATAAGCATATAAATGATAATCATAGTTCCCATTATCCTAAAATTTAGAAACTAAAAATATATACATATAAATATGTATATATGTGTATATACACCTGCATATGATTGAAAGAAATGGTACTAAGAAACATCAGCATTACTACTAAACATTGTAATCCATAATTATTGCATTTTTAAGTCATATAATATTTTTAAAACATTAAATTTTACATTGAGTGCAAATTGCATTTCTGTTATTTTTCTCTTTGAATTTGTAGTATATCTCTTGGTATGAGTACGAATGTTACAAGTTATGTTTTTTCATTATTACATTTGAATACATTCCATTTTCATTGTTAATTTTTGTACATGCTTGTGATAGCAATAAAATTCAAGATGAAAGAGAAAAAACTTTTTATTGTGTGCTATTTAATGAAGAGCAGATTTAAATGTGCAGTTCTTACTATTGTGTATATTATTCAAATCATTTCTGTGTAGTATACAAGGGAAAGTACCCAAAGGAATGTTATTGATTTGAAAAAATGAATAAAATGGCCGTGAGAACCTGCCATTGTCTAAAACAAGTGTATATAATTATATTTACATATGATCGAAAGAAATTGTGTTAAAAATCATCAGCATATCTACTAATTATTGTACTTTTAACAGCTTGCTATTTAAAAAACACTAAATGATTTTTTATTTTTAATTGGAAATAGTAGTTCTGTTACTTTTTTCTGGTAACTTTCAAACACTGCATAGTTTATGTGTTTTTTAAAATATTGCCACATACAATAAATATGTCAACATACACTATTTAAAAATATTTAGAATGTTTTTTTAATATTTTAAAATAGTGTGTGTTGTTTGTTAGGTTATCTCATTTCAAATATGAATGTTGGAAGGCTTTTTTTCTATAAGATTTAGGTATGTAATATATTTATCACATTTATTAGCTAAGTTATATAGCATTTCATTTACATATGCTGGAGATATAGAAGTTGATGGTTATATTATTTTGCTCTGAAACGCGAATAAATTAATAACCCTTCCCAATTTATCATGACAGTGACAATTTTCAATCAGCGTTTAAATTTTTGTAAAATGTTCTTTTTTTTCAGTTCATTCAATTATACTAATGCACAAAGTTAATTAAAATATTTGTAAAAAGCTTGAAAAGTGTGTATGTATATAAAGCCTCCTTTCTTTCAGCTATTTTAATGAACTAAGCAACATGATAAAGTTATATTTCCGACGAAAATTTAAAAATCCGAATGACTTTCCGACGATAACATCGGACGGAAAGCTCCGCCGTGTTTATTAGTGTCATGGCCTTCTCCCTCTCGAAGGTCACGGCTCAAACCCCCAACAAGATACCAGAATTCAAGCATGTCTTAATGAATTTTATACATTGTATGGATAGTATCTTAACTTAGAGCATATCATTCAACTGTGTTTATAATGTCTGTATGTACTTAGGAAGAGACATATTTATTTTTGATGCTTTCAAAAGTTAGTTTTATACAGTAGTAACCTCCTGTAAGGGGAAATTCTTTTGGTCTGGGTCCGTTTGAATAGGGACCATAATTTATGTACATCTTATTAAGGGAACTTTTGAAAAAAACTTTCAAAAATAAAGTAGAGATAGAGAAATAAATAAAAATAGAAATACTCTTTGTTAGTAATCTTTTGAAGTTTCAAAGATAAGTTTGTGCTCAGTGAAAGGTAGTTTTATTGCAAGGGAACAGTAAAGTGAGAAGTTATCATTCTCTTTTGAAAATGGCTTTTCAGTGAGAAAAAGGAGAACAATACATTGGTAAAAAGCAAACAGTGGTGCAGTGAAAAGGATATTTCACATTCATAAAATTTAAAGTTAAATTATTTTTGCTACAGTTCGTAGTACGTGGAAGAAAACAGTATTAGCATGTTGTAAGGCAATCCGAGACAGGGACCAGAGGGAAAGAAATGGTAGTGAGATGACTGAACCATCTGCCAAGTACATGGATCTCGCAGTGTGAATAGAATGAAAATTTCCATCATTTGTAGTTTGGACTGGAGAGCAAAAGAAGTACTTGTGTTAGTTTTGTACTTGTGTGTGTTACTTTTTTATCTGGCGTGGCTTCAAAAAGGAAAAGATTAACATTAAAACAAAAAGTTAATGTAATTCATGTAGCAGAAATTTAAAAACTTAGTTTGAGAGATTTTAGGGGAGAAATCTGGAATAAGTAAAAACATAGTAAGTAATGTTCTGAAGTATAGAGAAGAAATAAGAATATTATGAATTACTTATTCAAATCAACATTCCAAAATCGTAAAATTTAGAAAAATTAAACTGTGTGAATGTAATGTTCAAATGGTTTAGTTCTGCAAGAGCGAACAGTATTCCTGTAAGTGGATTATTATTGCAAGAAAAAGCAAAAGAACTTTCAGGACTACAGAACTTCAAAGCATTAAATGGTTGGTTAGAAAAATTTAAGCAAAGACATAACGTTACTTTTAAGACTATTTGGGATGAAGAAAAATCAATAGATGTACAACATGTAACAGACCGGATAAAAAAAGATGAATCAAAATGAAATTTGTGAATAATTTGATGATAAAATCTGCTTTATTAATGACAATATGGGTAAGCTACATCCAGTCAAAACATTACTTGATGGCGGCAGTACTTCATCTTTTATAAGCAGAGACTTTGCCAATAGACTTCATCTCCACTCAAATAAGGTAAACATTGCAATTTCTGGATTAAATGATTCCTTGTTTACAATTTGATCGAGAGTGTCAGCATGCATTAGTTATAAAGATAAAAGTTGCATAAGACATTTAGACCTATTAGTGGTACCAAAAGTCACACAAGATTTGATTCCTTCAAGTAAAATTGATATTAAAATGCAAGAATTTTGTAACATAAAATTCGCTGATGA